TAAAAGATGAGATGTTATTGCACTTTGAAATCTCTTACAATATTTTAATTACTACTTATTTTGCTCTTTAAGAAGTCAGATACGGTGGTGTTTAAATTTTTACTTCAGTTTAAATAGATTATTAGATGACCACATTCAATCAATTTGAACATTGAGTTTAAAGCTAACTTTTTAAGCAGTACGCATGACCACCATCTCTTGGGGTTTTAGTGGGTTTTCTTTACTTTCTCCTATTTTTTGTAGACCCCCTCCCTAATTTCATTGTAGTTTATAGAAAATGCAATAAAAAATCCCCTACGGGGGGCATAAAAATACATTAACGCCCTATACACAATAAAGGTAGAGTGTGCTGTCAAGTCACCACCAACTTATGGTGACCCCCCCACACACCATGAGGTTTTCAAGGCAAGAGAAGTTCAGAGGTGGTTTGCCACTACCTACCTCTGCATGCATAATAAAAAGTAGAGACATCACCCTGCCAACAAAAGTACGTATGGTCAAAGCAATGGTATTCCCAGTAGTCATGTATGGCTGCGAGAGTTGGACTATGGGGAAGGGCGAGCGCCGAAGAACAGATTCTTTTGAACTATGGTGCTGGAGAAGACTCTTGAGAGTCCCTTGGACTGCAAGGAGATCAAATCAGTCAATCCTAAAAGAAATCACCCCTGACTGTTCCCTGGAAGGCCAGATACTGAAGCTGAAGCTCAAATACTTTGGCCACCAAATGAGAAGGGAGCACTCACTGCAGAAGACCCTGATGCTGGGAAAGATTGAAGGTCAAAGAAGAAGGGGACGGCAAAGGATGAGATGGTTAGACAGTGTTATCGATGCAACCGACATGAAATTAAGCAAACTCCAGAGCACGACGGAAGACAGGAGGGCCTGGCGTGATGTGGTCCATGGGGTGGCAAAAAGTCAGACTCGACTGTGCGACTGAACAACAACAACCACCTCTGCATGGCAGCCCTTGTCTTTCTTGGGAGTCTCCCATCCAAGGACTAACCAGGCCCAGCCTTGCTTAGCGTCTGAGATTTGGCAAGACCAGGCTAGCCTGGACCACATAGGCTGCTCATATAGACACCATGTGATATTCATTGTGGACAACATTAATCACAGTTAAGCAATAAAGATGAAAATATGTTTCTATAGTATATATCAGGATGCAGAACAGAATGGTATAGTATAGAGTGGTATAGTATATATTGGGATGCAGACTGGCACATATAGCCTGTACTTGTCAGATCTTGAAAGCTAAGTAGGGTCAGAACTTGGACAGGAGATACAAAGGCAAATACAAACCACTTCTGCGTAATCAGTTGTCTTGAAAACCCTCTGGGGTCACCATAAGTCAGGTGCAACTTGACAGCACTTTACATACACGTAGTATATACTGGATTTATCTAACACTGTAGCTTTCGTTAAATGAATAATCTTCATACTACAAACTTCCACGGGAGCATCGCTAGAGTAAAACCTCGTCCATGAAACCCTTTGGCTCATTATCGAAAGAGGAAATATTTCATAGTTTTTCAATGTCCTCCCAAGTTCCCAGTTTTTCCTTCGGGGGAAAAACCAAAAATAAAATCCTCGGGAAGGGGGAGTGTTCTTCCCCATAGAGTCTTGGCTTTACAGCTCTAAGCAGTCCTACTGCATACTGTGCTTTATGTTTGAAATCTTGCTTAGAAAATTCTAGCCTGAGGCAACTCTTTTTATTTCACAAAGAAATACATGGGGAGAACCTTCTTCAAGACACACATGCCCTGAGAGAAAGGTGAAAAGGCCAGATGCTCATACGGCATCTGAAGGAAGCCTTCCAGGGACTGCCTGGGGAAAACGTCCGTCCTGTTGCCCCATTAAAAGAGGCTTAACAGACTGCTATTGACCAGGTGGCCTTATCTTAGGACAGTCTTCAGCAGTAATTAGCAGTCCTAATTACTAATAATGGCAAGGAGGCAAATAACATCACCTGGTAAACAGCAGCCTATTAAAACTCTGTTAAAGGGACAGCACATTTTTCTCCATTCATACTTACTAATCACCCTAACCTCAAGGTTGCCAACCTCCAGGTGGCAGTGGGAGATCTGCTCCTATTACAACTGATCTCCAGGTGACAGAGATCTGTTCACCTGGAGAAAATGGCCACTTTGGAAGTTGGACTCTATGGCATTATACCCCAAACCCCGCCCTCCTCAGGCTCCACCCCCCCATAGGTAAAGGTAAAGGTTCCCTTGGTCGAAAGCCAGTCGAGTCCGACTCTAGGGTTGTGGTGCTCATCTCCGTTTCAAAGCCGAAGAGCCAGCGCTGTCCGAAGACGTTTCCGTGGTCATGTGGCCGGCATGACTAAACACTAAGGCGCACAGAACGCTGTTACCTTCCCACCGAAGTGGTACCTATTTATCTACTTGCAATTTCTTGCTTTCGAACTGCTAGGTTGGCAGGAGCTGGAACTAGGGACGGGAGCTCACTCCGTCATGCGGCAACCCGGGTCTCGAACTGCTGAACTACTGACCTTCCACAGCCTGCAGTTCAGCATCTTAACCACTTGAGCCACCGCAGCTCCCCACCCCCCATATCTCCAGGTATTTCCCAACCCAGAGCTGGCAACCCTGCCTAACCTACACAGCCCAGGCTGGCCTGATCTTATCGGTTCTCAGAAGCCAAGCAGGGTCATCCCTGGTTAGTATTTGGATGGAAGACAAGGAAAACCAGTTGCGGCACAGAGCCAGGCAATGGCAAACCCCCTCTGAACATCTCTTGCCATGAAAACCCTACAGGGCTGCCATAAGTCACCTGGGACTTGCAAAGAAAAAGTTACTGATCATGGAATGGAGGTAAATAACACTGGCAGGTAACAGGGCATGAAGCCACTGTTAAAGGGGCAGGACTTTCCTCCCCCCCACTCCCGGCAGCTAGATAATCCTACTGCTTTATCAAGGTCAGTATTGTCTACTTTGACTCACAGCATTTCTCCGGGGCCTCCAGTGGAGGCCTTTCCTATACTTGATTCTTTTAAGCAGGTACACTGGCGACAGAACCCGGGAACTTCTACATGCAAAGCGGATGCTCTGCTGCTGAGCCATGGAGCATTCCTCTGCATGAGCTACTTTTTACTCCCCAGAGCTGCTGTGCCTTTGACAGCAGTATGCAGGGGTCGTTTCGTAGAACTCCCAATGGTCCCGACCGCCGCTGGCAGCCTTGCAGCTCCACTGCCGAGCCCCATGAGGGGCCCGGCGGTGGACCTGCAAGGCCGGCGGGAGTGCAAGGAAGCCCCGCGAAGGCCCTCCCTGGCCCCAGGCAGGCAGGGGTGGGGAGAGGCAGGGAGGAAGCAACTTACCTTCCCTCTTCTCCTGCCTCCTCCTGGCTGAATGAGGGCCGGAAGCGGGGCAGCCGGAAGCAGGGGGCGGGGCTTCGTCATGTGCCCCGCCCCCGTACCTCACCCGGGGGAACTGCGATCCCCCGCGATCCCCCCCAAAATGACCTCTGGCAGTATGGCAGAAACAGATCTGGCACATGCAAAGAATCTCCGTGGCAGGAGGAACTTCACCAGTTCAACTACCACAGGTCATGGCTGCATGTAATGACAGAAGTATAATGCTCAGATGCCAGAGTTGAAAAGATGTGCAATGGATGTACAGAAGAGACCCTTTCTGCAGGTTCAGGATGTGATACACCGCTTTGTTGTTGTTTTAAATTGTACCTGCCAGAATTTCATCCTGTTAAAGTCACAAGAGTTCTCCTTATCTGTAATAGATTATGGTTGTAGGTATGGGATATGGGCCCACAGAGACATGGCCAGAACAGCTGTTGTGTAATACCTGTTTCCAAGTAGAACCAACAAAAAACGGCACAACATATTGTGCAAGTTTGTGAGTGTCACAGAACTGTGAATTGTTAAAGGGGGGGGAGGGTGTTTCAAGGCATGCTGGAATCAATCGCTTGAAGGGTCTTAAAGAAAGATCCAGATTTAACTGGATTAGGTGGCGGGGAATGCTTTTAAAAAATGCACCAAATAAATAACTGGGATAGAAAAACATGCTTCTTTCCTCTTGAGAAGATTTAACGGCCAGAGGGGAATCAGGGTGTCTTCCACACAGGAATGGGATTTTGTGGTGACTTGGTTGCTGGTATGGCTACAGATAAAGCACTTTTCCTCTGCCTTGATCTCCCAGCGATAGCCACCCCCTTCCCCTGGGCCACCAGGGATTTTGCAATTTAAAAAAAATGCACTGAAATATTCTTATATCAATATAACAATGGAACAACAGGTGTGTCAGGTGCTCTGAATTCCCAGCTTTTGCCGTGTTCTTTAAAAAATTAAGTTTCTATTCCCTTTGGTTGCAAAGATATGCCTTTTTCCTTTATATCTCCACAAGGGAAGAAGCTAGAGACTTACTTTTTAAAAAAATATGAAAGCTGAGAAGGAAATGGCTGCCACAGGGACAGGGTCAAGGAAAATGGCTGCCATGTGTGCCAGAAAATCCAAATTTACCCACTCATACAGCTGCCAGCCAGGCTTTACTGCCATCTTTCTCCAAACTTGGGAGAAAACCGGGTTCAAGAAAGACTGGAGAAAAGCTAGAGAATCCCCCAGAGATGCACAAAGGCCCTCGCTTCTCAACAGCATTGACCTTGGGGGCACAACGCCTGTGTGGAAGTCATCCAGATAGCCTTTGGAACTCTACATGCAGGATTGTGGGCAGATTTAACCCACAAATCAAATTCCAAACACATATACAGACACTACAGGGTACAGTTGCCAACCTCCAGGTTGTGGCTGGAGAGCTCCTCAGATCACAACTGATCTCTAGCCAACAGAGATCAGTTCACCTGGAGAAAATGGTCACTATGGCATTTTACCCCATTGAAGTCCCCCCCCTCCCCAAACCCCCCCCTTCACAGGCTCCCCCCCCCCATCATCTCCAGGTATTTCACAACCCAGAACTGACAACCCTGCTATAGTGAAAAACTACGACTGTACACCATGCATCCGTTGGAAGAGAGCTCCCAATGCGACACGCTCTGTCAGAGGACTTGAGCTGTCAGGGTCAAAGAGAGACTGCAAAAGCCGCCCGGTAATGATCCAAAGGTTGCATTCTGTTGACTGGCTTTCCCTCCCTTTGCTGTTGTTCACGGGAGCCAAGACAAAGGTCTCTGTCGACCTTACTTTTTTTGCCATTCCGCGAAAGGAAAGGCTTGCTGCTCCTCCTGACTCGACCAACCCGCCTCTTTTGAGCGACTCAGGCCCAAGCCCGAGGAGAGGAGGGGGTTGCCGCGCCTGCCAATCATTTCTGTGACGAAATCCCCAAGCCATTTAAATAGATGGCGAGCGGCTGGCGGGCCCTCAGCAGGTTGGGAGAGGCAGATGGTTGCGGGCCGGTCCTTGCTCTCTCGCGCCCTCTACCGGTAGGCGAGGCTGCTGCGGCTTGGAGCACGCTCGCTCGCTCACACAAAAGACGACTTCTCCCTCTCTCTCTCTCTCTCCTCTCTGAGGATTCTCGCGCATTGGAAGGGCAATTGCGCGCATCATGCTGAACCTCACCGCTGAAAACCACCGCGTGCGTCTGAATGATGGCAACAGTATCCCACTGATTGGGCTTGGCACCTATGCTGATCCCAAAAAGGTAAACGCCTGGGGGTTCCCTGTGGCATGACCCTCAACCCATTGGTAGGATTTCTTGCTTTTAATTAACATTTCCGCCCCCCTCCCCCCTCCCAGTCTCTTATGGACTCGGGACTCCCTGCTTGCAAACCAGTCCTGTGCATGCTTTACCCAAAAGGAACCCCCCCATAGGATTTAATGGAGGCTTTCAATGTGGGTAGGAGTGTAGTTTGTGAAAGTGGAGTATATTGTATATGATCTGCCTCCTCAGTCTCCGTGGCCTTTGACCGAAGCTCGCTGGGCAGAAATCGATACAGTCCATGCTGAAATGTGTGCACTTTCCCTCGCCTGATGAGCCATGCATGTTGCATAAAGTAATTCTACTGGGTTCAATGGGATTTCTTCCCTCCTATTGTCCGGTGCCTTCTTACCTTCCTTCCTTTTGTAAACCTCAAGGTCAGAGTAGGAGGAATTCCGTTCAGACTTCGATCATCAGCCCCAGGTTTACATTCACCGAGGTGGCTGCATCCTAATACCTTCACATTCCAGGGAGCCCATGAAGTGGGGTTTACTTCTGAGTTAAGGGTCAAGCTGCAAGTGGGATTTAGGAGTGTGGTGTTAAAGATGTGGCTTGGGTAGTCAAAGCACATGCTTCGCTCACTCTTGTGGAAATTGAGGCATGTTCCTCCTGGTGCAGGTGGATGGCTTTCCACTCAGAACATTGAGAGGGAGGTTGGGAAAGGGATCCCATTGTGGAAATTTGGCTCCTGTGAGCATCTTCTGATTGCAGCAATGTAGATCTAGGGGGGAGGCTGTGGCGGCAAATGCGCTGGCAGTATCTCCTCCCACACATGACTGGTGTCTTGCCCAGAAGCGCTCCTGTTTGCCACCCATGATGCTTCTGGAAATGTGTCCACAAGATGTTAGTTTTGTCTTTGCCTCCAAACAGCTGCCTTGGGTCATGACTAAGCTTCCTAAAACTGCAGTCCAGGGAAGTAAAAGGAATGGGACTCGCTTCTGAATGAAGCCTGCACAACAGATCGGGCTGTGCATGTTCTCATTTGGTTCCAGAATGTTTCTCAAACTTCTCGAGAGGAAGAATCACTCCCGGCTGCTAGTTTTATGTATTGCTGCATACCTGCAGCATAACCACAAGGTGTGGATCTGTCACATGGCAGCTCTTGTAGATAAAAGGGTAATTAATTTCTGATTGATGGCTTGGCACATGACAGGACGGGCAAGCTAAGCACTGCTCCAGTGAACAGCATCACAGCCAAGGCGATGATTCAGTCTGTGGTGTTTGATCTGGGATGGTGTCAGAGACACTCACCTTGGCACCGTAACCCATCAAGCGACAGATGATCATACGTGAACCAGCTTCTGTGTTTGTCCGGGAGGTTGCTCTTGTAGATGTGTGGAACAGTCTGATGTCTCTTTCAGGCTGTAGACTTTATTGGTTCCAAGAGAACAAATTTAGCATTTAGCATCTTGGCTTGCTCAAATGAAGTTTGTGGGTGGGCGTAGCCTGGTAGTGGGGGGGGGCATTCTTTCCCCTTTGTCTAAAGGAGGTAAGTCTATGCCTCTGTTCCTGGAAGTTATGTGTTCCCCTTCTTCAAAGAACTATCTTTAAAAGACATCGCCCCCACCTCCTCACACACACACATACAGATTCCAAAAACAAGTGAGGATGGGTTTAGACTGCGAGTGGAAAGGTGGCAGCTGGATATTAGGATAATTTTGTTACATTAAGAGTTGTGCCACAGTGGAATCAGCTGCCTAGGGAGGTGGTGAGCTCCCCCTCACTGGCCGTCTTCAAGCAGCAGCTGGACAAAGACTTGTCAGGGATGCTCCAGGCCAGTGGTGGCGAACCTATGGCATGGGTGCCAGAGGTGGCACTCGGAGCCCTCTCTGTGGGCACGCGTGCCATCACCCCAGCCAGGCCCAGACCATCATTAAAGTGTCAAATTCTCTGCCAAATAATTTTAAGTAAATGAAAGCATTTGGGATTGCTTTCCTTACTTTGTTTGGATCATCTTAAGTTAATGTATGAGTTGTGTTTTCTAAAGTAAAACCTCAGTATTCAGGTTAAATTGCCGTGTTGGCACTTTGCAATAAATAAGTGGGTTTTGGGTCGCAGTTTGGGCACCCGGTCTCTAAAAGGTTTGCCATCACTGCTCTAGGCTGATCCTATGTTGAGCAGGGGGCTCAACTAGATGGCCTGTATGGCCCCTTCTGGCTTGATGATTCCATATTTATAAGAAAGAGCTCTCATTCTTTTTGGCTTTTTAAAGGACTTAATGAGAAGCACAGCGGGCAGGATGCTTAGCTTGGAAAGAAGTTTTTAAAAAACTTTAGAAATAAAATATGCAACCATTGACGAGGAAATGGTGGTGACTCCTTCCTATGTAACTTTTTGAGGGAATGGGTGGCCGCTTCCCCGCCCCCCATCTCACTCCTGTGCCCTTAACGGCATGGGCAGATGAATCTTCCCCCGTCCCTATAGCTCTATGGCAGCAAAGGGTATGCTTGACAATGGACTGTGTGCCCTGGGTTGCTGCTAAAAGTACAAGAGTAGGGCCAGCAAAAGCCATTGGGCGACCTGACTTATCACAACTTCTTGAGCTGGACAAGAGGCACCCGCAACACACTGTGCCACAGAAAGTAAACCGGCATGTTAGCAAGCAGGAAGGAAATCAGACTTTCTCCTCACAGTGTCGTGACTTCCCCACAACAAAGAAAAGCTTCTCGAGCAGCAGCTGTGCATTTACCTAACCCCCCCCCTCCAGTAATCGGAAAAGGCATCCATATGGACCCCATTCTCTGGATGGCTGCCTGCCTGCTATTGATTTCAGTTAAAAGATGCTAAATTGGGAAGGAATCTGAGAAGGAACCCGGTCGTTTTCGCCTCATCAGCATCTGTGGTTTAGCCGGTGTTCCTAGAAATCCGGACTGCAGTCGCCCGGTTGTAACAGAAAGGGAAACTGAAATGCAATTTAAAAAAAAATCTGCCTTCTCGCACAGGCATTGCATCGATTCAGAGAACACATTTAGGGCTGTCTAAGAGCAAGAGAAGACTGTAGGCACCTCGGGGCTGAGACTTCCAAAGGGACAGGTGCTGCGGACCAGAGGCTGTTTGGGCCAGAAGGGGATGAAAAGATTTCCCTCACCTCCAATATCCTTTTGAAGCTTTGCTTTGCCTGTCAGTCAGTCCTGCTGCACTGAGCAAATATAAAAGATGAATCAATTGTGCGCGAGACTGTCTTACAGCTGGCTCAGATGCTTTCAAAGGAATGTGCCTGCAACAAAAGCCTGGATTCCAGTAGCTCAATTCCCAGGGCTCCAGGATCTCCAGATGACAGAACCAACCATCGGAAGAGTCGCAAGCATCTGTGTGCCCCTCGGTGTCTCGGGCATACACAGGTGTCCCCTTCTGCGGCTCTAAAATTCCTTGCCGTGTACCTGACGCTTACAATCCGCTCTAGGTTTGCCCGTATTTCAAAACATGGCTTAGATTAGACAGATGATGCAGGTGCACTGTGAGTCTACACCTGCTCACATGTGGTCTTTTACATACAGAAAACGGGGATCAAGGGGGGAGGAGAGGCAGGCAGAGCCCTGCCTCCTCCCTTCCTTACTGTACTCTGTTGCTTTTGACATAGGTTGGAAGTCCAGTGTGGTGTAGTGGGTAGAGTGTTGGACTAGGATCTGGGAGACCCAGGTTCGAATCCCAGCCTCTGCCATGGAAGCTCATTGGGTTGCCTTGGGGCCGTCACACACCCTCCGCCTAACCTGCTTCACAGGGCTGTTGTGAGTATAAAAATGGAGGAGGCGAAAATGCTGTGAGATGCTTTGGGTCTCACTGGGGGAAAAGTTGGGGTAACAATGAAGTAAATGTATACATGTGTGGTGAATGAATGAGCTGCCCTTTGAATTTGCCTTTCTCGTCTGTGGGCACTTTCATACACACACACAATGAATAATGCACTTTCAGTCCACTTTCTGTGCACTTTGCAACTGGATTTTACTGTGTGAAAGATAAAATCCACTAGCAAACGATTGCTAAAGTGCATATGTGAAAGTGCCCTATATGTCCTGCCATGGATCTATTTGTTTCCCTCCTCAATTTATATATTAACAGTCAGTGTGATGTAGTAGTTAGAGTGCTGGATTAGGATTTGGGAGACCCAGGTTCAAATCCTCACTCTGTGACGAAGTTTGCTGGTTGGCCTTTGGCCAGTCACGTGCTTTCAGCCTGATCTATCTTGCAGGGTTATTGTGAGCATAAAATGGGGCACGGAGAACCACGTATGAACAACCTGAGTTCCTTGGAGGAAAGATGGGATAAAACTGTGATAGATCTCTCTCCATCTTGGAACTTAAAGCCAGAGGGGAACAAGAGAAAGGAGTGTTAGAATCGACACTGTCTTGTATGTTTTGCTCCCACTTACTTTATCAAGTATGCTAGCAACAATGTGTGTGTACAGGAGCATTTGCCAGCAAACACTTCTGGGTAAATAAGATCAAAGCAAAATCCACTGGAATGAGTGCCTTGGAGGCTGGACAAGAAGGAGAGCCAGCTTTTGCTTTTTCCAGAAAGGTGGTTGCTTTGCTCTGTGAGCAGCAAAAAACAAGAAGGCGTCTAGTGGCAGATTTATTGTGGTATGTGCCTTCATGGACTACAGCCCACGTCTTTGGATGGGAGTGAGCCATGGTGAACAAAAACCTTATAAACTTGTCATTCTTCAAGATACCCACAAGCAGTGTTCCCTCTAAGCTGAGTCAGTGTGAGCTAGCTCATAGTTTTTCAGCCTCCGGCTCACACATTTTTGTCTTCGCTCAGGAAGGAGGGCTCCAGAGCTAACTAATTTATGCAGCGGCCAAATCGCTCACTCACAACTTTAATGCCAGTAGCTCACGAAGTAGAATTTTTGCTCACAAGACTCCACAGCTTAGAGGGAGCATTGCCCACAAGGGTGTTTAAAAAAAAGCCCTGGGAATAATACACAAAGAAATGGCAGGGTC